TTTTATTTATTTTATTATTTTCGCTAGTTTAGCGACCAACTTTGATCGTGTTTTCCCACAGATCAATTTTGATCGCTAAATTTTGGTCGCTTTTTTCCGAATTTCTAGTAGTGTATACATACCAAGGCCTCTTGGACATCATTTTCAATCAAATAAAAAAAAAGAGGTCAAAATTGAAGTACAAACTCTTTAGAAAACATATATGAAAGTGCAGGAAAAGAAATTCACAGACAATTGGTATAAATAATAAGAATGGTACAGGAAAATTTATTTTTCTTGCTTAATTCTTCTTTTACTTCCTCTTCGATCTTTAGGTAGATCGTACAACAGAAATCATGACCAAATAATTCAAGAAAGGTCTAATAAAGAAACAATCTCCGAACGATAATATAATTTTAAATTTTTAAGATCACAAATAATAAGAATTTTTTTTCTACATGTGTTGATGAACTTGATGATATGAGTGTTAAAGTAGATAGAATTTGATTCATAATCTATTGTTTTACAAATTCGAGTTTTCTTCAACATATCATTAAATTATATTCATATGGCGAGTTATTTTATATGTGCTATAAATAAACTCGGACATATCACTTTCTCTATGAATCTAAAAACAAAAAGTTGTGAGATTGTGAAGGAAAAAGAAAAAAGTATGCTTGCGTATCTTGGAGTTGGAGAGATGGCCACAAAAGAGATACTGGCGGACGAGATTATATACGTATTCACCACTCCACAAATACTTAAAAAGTAAAAGTTAGGATATTTAGTACAAAATTGGTTAATATATAATATGCAATGAATCCCTAATTAAATTGAGACTCAGCAGAAAGTTTCCTTTGCAATCACAAATTCCTCAATCTCGTTCCATCACAAAGTCTTCCTTTTGTAAGATCAAATTGTTCCATACGTTCCATTACAAAAATTTAGTAAAGTTTGAATTGATTTCAAAGTCCTAAATATTATGAACTAATTTTAAATTTTATAATTTTATCCAACATGGAGTTATTTATAGGAAATATAATTTAGTACTAAGGGTATAAAAGTCGATTAATGTTACAAGAATATTTTTATCGTTTAATATTTAATATATGAAATATTGATGCTTTTATAATAATATAGAAGATAGATAGATAGATATAAATATAAATATAAATATAAATATAAATATAAATATAGATAGATATAAATACACATAGATATTGATTACATAAACTATTGTACAAAGAGAAATTATTTTCAAATATAAAAAAATATAGGATCTCATAGCGTCGCCGACACGAGTGATGGATAGTGTACTTGCGTGCGAGAAAGAAGATATCAGAATCTCTCTATATAGAACCCAACGCATCACCCAAATAACAGATATGGCACACACTTCAATGACATTATTCCATCAACTACACCGCAATCTTCCCTTTCTTCCTATACGGATGTGCACTAGGACGAGTTACTAACTATACAATTCGCGCATACACTTATAGAGTACAATCAAGAATATGGAGAAATCATCACAGGAAAATCTGATACTGGTGAATCGGGAATCCGACGGGGTTGCATGGGTCACAATAAACCGTCCCAAGTCCCTAAATTCCCTGACCAAGTCAATGATCGTTGATCTTGCTCGAATTTTCAAGTCCTTGGACGCAGATGATTCGGTTCGGGTCATTATACTCACCGGATCGGGTCGATCGTTCTGTTCGGGCGTTGACCTGACGGCAGCGGAGGACGTGTTTAAGGGTGATGTGAAGGATGTGGAGACTGATCCGGTGGCCCAAATGGAGCGCTGTAGGAAGCCTATCATTGGGGCTATTGGGGGATTTGCTGTGACTGCTGGTTTTGAGATTTCTCTTGCTTGTGATTTGTTGGTTGCCTCTAATGATGCTAAATTCTTGGACACTCATGCTAGGTTTGTCTTATTTTTCTTTTGCTTTTTTTTCTATATTGATAGTAATATGGAAAAAAGAATGGGTTTTTTTTTTCCTTCTAAATTTACTCATTTGGGCGGTTCTGTTTATGATGTTACTCTGTTGATGATGAAACATACGATCAATTTTAGGATATATTTGGATAATGGAACTGTCGAAGCTGGATGGTGGTGATTTTTAAGATGTGAGCTTTATTACCTAAGTCATGCTATATTGGAGAAATTGAGACTGGATTTAGCATTTTAGCTTGATTCTTAATTAGTAAGTTATGACTAGGCTGAATGAGTTCTCCCCCATACTGAGCATCTCAATTCTCAGGTTTCAATTTAACTAGTTGAGCCTTCCCATAAAAATATTGGAAAATAAACCACTTGGCTTTTGATTAGTGTCTTAAGAAGCTTAGATTACACCAGATAGGAGTTGGTTTTCCTGCAAAATTGTGCTTTCAATTGTATCTTAAGTAGTACTTCTGTATTGACAGTTAGCAGCAAACCAAACTATTTAGCTTTACTGTTTTTCGTTTTTGAACTTGATTTTTAAAGTATTGACTGTGCTTCAGTTTCATAGTTGATTTTAAGTTTTACTTACAGAGTAGTTTAAGTTTTAAGCTTATTGTTTATGTGACCTAAAATGAAATTTCTGCATTTGACCAATCATTAGTCACCTGTGGACTTTAGCCCCCTGTAAGCCGCTATAAAAATGAGACAAAGTCCTTAGCTGTATAAATCCTAAGCTGAAAATTCTTTTGAATCCAGAGAGTTCCCGTCAGCGTCTGTGTTACTAGTTAATTGAGGCTATCAACCCCTTGAAAAACCTGATCTACCTAAAGTTATAAGTGGTCATGTTATTTTCAGTTGTTCTACTCGAGTCCTAAGCTACTTAAACACTTGAACCCAATCTATATACAAGTTCTGTGATAATAATGTTAACTTTCATATGTGTTTCTAGATGATTTTCTGACAAGTGTCTTTGCTTTTGTGTTGCAGGTTTGAGATATTTCCTTCTTGGGGTCTATCTCAAAAACTCTCTCGTGTTATTGGACCCAGCCGAGCTCGTGAAGCATCTTTAACTGCAATGCCTATCAGCGCAGAACAAGCTGAGAGATGGGGTTTGGTAAATTATGTTGTAGACAGAAGTGAACTTTTGAAGAAAGCTAGGCAAATAGCAGAAGCCATCATCAAGAACAACCACGACCTGGTTTTGAAGTACAAGGCAGTAATCAATGATGGGTTCAAACAAGACTTGACCCGAGCCCTTGCTCTTGAGAAGGTAACAACATCTCCTGTTTTTGTTATGATCTAGTTTGAAGCAGTGTCCATCCTGTCTAATTTTAACTTATTGCCTATTATCTGTATCTAAATCTATTAAGTATTATATTAAAAGAGAACACATGCATGCATTGCAGGTATACTAGATGCTAATAGCAATTAGAAAGAAAGGGCCATACTCTGGAAAAACAGTCTATCGCTCCTTCCTAGTACCCATAGCCCCATCCACCCTCCAGTTCTCTCACCGGGAAAAAAAATGACCTCGCGAAATACCAGATAAGAACCCATCCAACAGCCCTTGAAGAAAAAAGATAGCTGAGATTGAAATAGGGGGAAAGGGAGAAACCAATTCAGGTGGTTGCACCTTTTTAAAGCTAATCCTAAATCATGCGTGAAGACTCTGATATTTGTCTAACATCAAGATCGATAGTTGATTATTAGTCTCTGGTGTGGCTATTCCCTATGGTGTTCATACCCTCAAATGTAGTAATTCACCTTACATTGCCAATATCGTTGTTGACGTTGGTGGAGCACAAGTCCATACAATATCTTGTCGCAATGTTGTGTCTCTCATCTCTCTCTCTCTCTCTCTCTCTCTCTCTCTCTCTCTCTCTCTCTCTCTCTCNGCTGCTTTTTCTTGGTTGTGTTGCTTGTCTTGTGAAATCTTCTAGCTGCAGAGAACTGTTGACGAGATAAAATAAAAAAGGGAAAAATGGATGTCGACTATCCAAGTTACTCTCCAACTTAAGTGATCCACTTAATCTTGTTAGTTCACCTCTTCTGGATGCGTTAAGGCTGTATCATCAGAGTTAATCTGACCAGCTACTGTCTGCCATGTCAAAAATTAGAAACTAATGAATACTTGTACAAACTCTTGCAGTCACCCTCTAGTCGCATTACCTGCAAGGCTACAACTTAATATATTGACACTTAGAAACTAATGAATACGCATACCAAATCTTGCAATCACCGTGTAGTCGCATTACCTGCAACATAATATATTGATGTGTGCGCTTTATTGTCATTTCCAGGAGAGGGCACACAAGTATTACGATGGAATGTCCAAGGATCACTTTAAGAAACTGCAAGAGTTCATTGCTGGTCGGAGTTCAAGCAAACCTTCCTCAAAATTATAGATTTCTCATGTTATTCTGCTTTTGAAATAAACTAGTCTAGGCGCATGTTTTATTGAGAAATTTCAAATAAAAAAGTAAATATTACTTTGTTTGTCTCATTTTACATGGCAATGTATTGATCAAACGCTAAGAAAGATGTTATTCTAATTTCAGTAGAGCGACGATCTTGTCTTGTTAACAAGGGACAACCATGGTCAACAATTTCACTCCGTCTTCCTTGTGGCATGACATTGTTAAGGTTTTGTATTACGCCCTATAATTTCTTCCGCGGTTTACAGATTTTTCTTCCGCGGTTTACAGATTTTGATAATTTTAATGATCTCTGATCATGGCCAACTTTAGTCCTAAATAGGATAAGCGATCGTTGCAATTATAATTCGGTCTAAAAATCCGGAGTCGAATGAATCCCACAAAGAACTAAGGCTTAGCTATAATTGTTCACAATTGCGATTTTTATGTTAAATTAATTAACTAGCAAGTATTAAAAGCAGTAAAAATTATTAATTAAGGAGACTAAGAGTTGGAGACAAGATTAAAGAGGCCTAGAGTTATGATTTTTTCAATTGTTGCAATCTTTCCCTCTACGTTTTCTATAATTTCGCTTAAGTATTCTCTACTGATCGTGAGCACTTCAAGTGTCGTAATTCTCTCTCGAGCAACTAAAATAATTTACTAAATATATTTTTTCGAACTACGCTAGCTGGCACAATGTTATCCCTCACTATGATCACGTCAAGACTTTGTTATTCCTAAACTCATCTTTAAATCAGTCGTATTGATTCCTCACATACGTTAGGAGTGATGTTGTTCAACAAGCACCTAAATATGTACCCTTTTCCAAGTTGTTCATAATAAATAGGCACAATCAAGTGATGACTATTCAATCAACTTAAGTAAGTAGTAACCAAGTAGAGAAAGTTAAGTAAGCAGTTGTAGACAATAAATTTGCTTTGAGAAAATAAAATCAAGACCGAAAATATTGCAACAACCGTAGTATTTTATTTCGAATATTTGAGTGTTACAATCTCTATGAATCCTCTGATTCTTTCTTCCAATAGTAAATAAATTCAAGGGCCTTTGAGCTTGATCTTGAATATGTATTTGTTGCCTCGAACGATGATCTTGTTCTTGAGCTTGAGCTTGAGCTTGAGCTTGAGTGCTTGAACTTGACTTTGATTTGTTCTTCGTTCTTGAACTTGCACTTGATTTCTTGAACTTGAACTTGAAGCTTGAAACTTGTGGAGGAATTTGCAGCGTTTGATCCACGAGCTCTTTCTTGCTTCTTGTTATAACTTCTGGTGTCTTTTCTGAGTTATGAAGACCCCTATTTATAGTTGTGGGAGGGAAGAGTTATAATAAGAACAAACTCTTTCCGACCAATCAATTTGAAGTGTGACATGGCCGTATTTGATTGGCCAGAGCATGTCACTTGCACACGTGACACGATTTCATTGGCCTTTTAGTGTGACTTGGCATGCCTTGTCATTTTGACATGTGGCATGATCCTATTGGCTCTTTCGTTTGACTTGGCGTGCCACATCATTTGACACATGGCACCAAACTGGGCCTTTAGGAAGATGACATCTTGGGCTTAATGAAGTGGGCTCATCACTTTAACCCAATTAAATGGGCTAGCCCAATGGATTAAGACTTATTTATTTAATCCATTTATATTGGACTTATATGATTAATTCAATTATATTAGCCCAAATCTTTATTTGGACCAATATATCTTGAATTTAAAATATAGTCCAAATCATTTTATGAATTTAATTTCAATAAAATTTATATGCCTACAACAGTAACCAGTAGAGAAATCCAAAGGCTAAATTATATAAAAAGGTAACAAGAATTTATCCTACAAAGGTTCCATCAAAACCCTTGATAAGAAATTATAATAGTATGTAAAACTACAATACTAAAATTCATAACCATGGAAAATAGGAAGAAAGAGGAAAAACGTGAAGTTGAATCATTCTCCTTGTTCCAAGCATGTTCGTGCCTCTCCAAAGTCTTCCTCTTCCTCCCTAAGTAGTGTTTCCTCTCAAAAGGACGTTTTAGGATGTATTATATCCATTAGGGTTTGTATGGGGCGGATTAAACACTTCTACTTCGAATTGGAAACTCTAGGGCATGTCTGGACGCACGACCCAGACCGCTCCCAGTTGTTGTATTCTTCTGCTCCGGTCCCGGTCTGGTGAAGTGAACCTTGCTTCGATGTCCGGAACTTTTCTCTTTAACTCTTTTTTCACTAATTTTCCTCCAATTTGATCCCTTTTTCGCGCAAGTTCATTCCTACACATAAGAAACACATAATGATCATATTTTCACTTAAAAAATCATGTGACTTCCCATAACTCACATACGAAATAATATACAAACATACTAAAAAAATATGCACTTTTCATCATTTATCACCCCCCTCCCCCCACTTAAAATCTTGCTCATCCTCGAGCAGCTTAAAATTAAGCACATTGACAAGTAAACCAATTCTAAAACATACTCAAGCATCATACCAATGACAATGGTTTATATCAATGCTTAGAACCCAACATAAAGACTATTGATATCTTTCCTCATTTTTAGACCAATGTCAAGACTATTTAAAATATTTATGTGACTTTTCTAACATCCTATCCTCAAAAATTGACTCCAATACGTTATGTACTATGACTTGCTTCTTGTGCCAATTACTCAAATATCAAGGACTTTACCAATCCTTTGCAAACCATGTGCCCTCACCAACAAATAAAATAAAGACAATAGTCCATACACTCAATTATAAGTTCAAGTATAGTCTAAGGACTCAAATATTGAAAGAATTCACTCACTCTCACAAAGAAATTCTTATTCCACCCAAGTTCATACCATAGGCTTGCCCGTAGTGTAAGACGACTAATTTAAGCTTGCAAAGTCTAGGATCAAGTAGGACTTTGTAGGTTGTACTGTAGGCTAAAGGATGGGTAGGATATATTTGAAAAAATAGTGACTAACCCTCCTAAGCACTTTAATACAACATACTTCACTTAATCTTCTAACTACTTAAGTGCTTTCGGAGGTAAAGGTTCAGTAAGATTTGATTAAGAACAAAGGAGATTCGTCTGATAATGTGGTTGCTAAAGAAAAGGCTACATACTCAAAAGGGGTGACTACGGATAATATTGGCACTGGTAAGCAAATATTTTAAATAGTCAATCACGGAAAGCCTATATCACTTCCCAAACTTACAAGACTTAACCATTTCGCTTTGACTCACACGAGATAAGTCTGAGACTATCAAGAGATGGCACAGAGTACACTGAGATCTCACCTCACATAATGCACATGACTCACTCAGTATGGCTCAGACTCGATTTTTAAGTTATGGCAACTTAGCACAATCATCATAAAATTCAACCACGTAGGAAGTACATAACAAGAGTCAACAGATGATCCCAAGAGTGTGTGTGTGTGTGTGTATATATATATATATATTCTCAAGGCATATAATTACAAGAATCACGAAGAAAGTACTCAACGCAAATATTACTGCTCTAAGCCCCGATATAAAACATGTCAAAAAGCAACGATATTCAAGTTCTCCCCATTCCATTATCAACCCAAAAAGAGAAAAAAAATATTTTTCTTTAAACTTTAATACCCTCAATAAAACTGTCTAGGAAGTCCATCGTCGGGGAAAGTTCAAAATAAAATTTTAAAAGGGTTTAAAAAAAATCTACCTAAACTCACCCGGTTCAAAGAAAAAAATCATCTCTTGAAAAAGAACCGTATCCATAAGAAAAAACAAGAGGGGTTTTTTATTTTTTTTAACACACATAACATAGCACAAGAAACCACTCAGATAATTTTTCTACCCCACACTTAAAATTGTGCATTGTCTCTAATGCACACCTTAAATAACAAGAGGATAAAGAAACTCCCTAGTAGGCTAAAAACCGGAGCATTAGCAACTCATGGGGTAGTTAAACATCTCCCAGGCATTGGTCCTTTATGCGGGCACCCCCCACTTAGCTCCAGGCATCTTGTTTTCTTTTGCTTCCTTCCACTGGCTTTGCATCTTATGATCCTACTTCTACAATACTAAAGTTGCAATACAAAAATAATATAATAAAATAAAAATAAAAATTAACAAAATAGTAAAGTTGAATTTTGTCCCAACAAGTGTCTTAGTTAATGTCGTGGCACAACGTGAATTAATCACTTTTCGCCTCCACCTGGAGCTTATGAATTGAACTCCTAATTTTGATTCAAGTTTTTGTTATGCTCCAGGAGTTGTGGAACAAATCTAACTGGTCCAACTCACTTTTTGGCTTTTGCATGAGGTGTGTAATCCTGACTTTCTATCAAGAGAAATTCCCAAATGTAGGAACGTTATTCCTCATTCCTTGACTCCT